TGGCTAAAGACCTAAATCTCCTGGTATGTGAAGAGTCTCAGGAGGCTAGCCTTTTACAGGAGCACTGAGAAATCCAGGAAAGTTTTATTTTTCCCTACTGTCCTCCTCCATCTCTATGATCAGCCATTTTTTTCGAGGAGCCCTGGTTCCTTTAAGAGAGAAATGGTATTAGAAACCAAGATTTGGGCACTATTGCGTGCTCATTGCTACCAGGATGTGTTTGCTTTTAGACCCTCTCAGCAGACAGTGCTGGTAAATATATGCATGTACGCACACATGTACACATATATGTACATACTTAATAATATGCAAATGTGTACATTAATATACATATATACATACATATACATGTGCATGTATACACACATGCATCTGTACCTGCACATGCATATATGTGTAAATGTTTCGGCAGTCAGGCCTTCCCTAAGGCCTAAGTATGTATATTTTAGAAACAGTGGATTTAGATCCATACTTCCAAATCCAGCCTATCTACCCATCGTTCTTTTTTCCTTTCCCATTCTATATTTGTATTCTCTTGTTTCTCAGTGAGAACACTGCTTCCCAACAATATCAACACATTTATTCATTTGCTCAGGCCTACAGTATACCTAAAATTGATCTGTAGAACTCTATATGAGACAAATCTACTAAATAGAGTTCAAGATTTGTTTTTAGTTGTCCCCCACACTCCCCCCAAGACTGAGGTTATGTAGTGAAATAGTATGTACCTAAGTTACCTGGGAAGCCCTGGTGGCGCCGTGGTTAAGAGCTTGGCTGCTAACCGAAAGGTTGGCAGTTCAAATCCACCAGCCACTCCTTGGAAACCCTATGGGTCAGTTCCACTGTGTCCTATAGGGTCGCTATGAGTTGATTCGACTCGATGGCAATGGTTTGGTTTAAGTTACCTGGACTAGTTCTTTTTGTTTCTCTTTACTTTGCAAGTCATCTGGCAGCCAGAACACACGCTGTCTTTAATCATCACTTAATGTTGTTGGATGAAGGTTGGCTAGTGCATTAGAAAAAAAGCACAGTATTTGGAACTAGACAGTCCTTGGTTTGCATCCCAGCCCCATCACTTCCTAGTTGTGTGAATGTGGGCCAGGTATGTAACTTCTTAGAGCTTCCTTTTCGTCTCCTGCATGGGGCTCACAAATATCATGAGGAATAAAGAAGACATGTTTGATAAGCTTGGTAAAAAAGACCCAGCCACAAAGGTATTCTTTTTATTGTTGTTGTTAGCTTCCATTCAGTTGGTTCCAACTCATAGTGATCCTACGTACAACAGAACAAAACACTGCCTGGTCCTATGCCATCCTCACAGTCATTGCTGTGTTTGAGCCCATTGTTGCAGCCACTGTGTCAATCCATCTTGTTGTGGGTCTTCTTTGTTCACCAACCATTTACTTTACCAAGCATGATGTCCTTCTCCAGGGACTGGTCCCTTCTAATAACATGTCCAAATTATGTGAGACGAAGTCTCGCCATCCTCACTTCTAGGGAGCATTCTGGTTGTACTTATTCCAAGACAGAATGTTTGTTCTTCTCTCAGTCCATGGTATATTCAATAGTCTTTGCCAGCACTGTAATTCAAAGGCATCACTTCTTCTTCCGTCTTCCTTATTCATTGTCCTGCTTTCTCATGCATATGAGGCGATTGAAAACACCATGGCTTAGGTGAGCCGTGCCTAAATCCTCAAAGTGACATCTTTTCTTTTTAACACTTTAAAGAGGTCTTTTGCAGCAGATTTGCCTAATACAATGGTGTTGCAGCGGTGACGGTTGTCGGACGGCGGAGACAGTAACCAAACACAACTCTTACAGAGAAGTGGGGCCAGGAGGGTCACTCTGAGGAGTCGACCCCAGCTTCAGTCCCAGGAGTTTATTTATAGTCAATACAGCAAGCAGTGAAGCAAATAACAGAACAATGGGCTTTGGGTGTGGGCAAGAGAGAAGGACTTCAGGTAAACAAGCCAATCAATAAAGGGACAATAGGTTTGGGAAAACAAGTCGTGACAAGTCTCAACATGTTGGGGACAAGTCTCAACATGTTGTGCAGCATAGAGGCCTGTGGGGGCTGCAGTTGTCAATAGTCCAGCCATGTTTAAATGGCATATATCCCCACACAATTGTATTATTATTACCACTACTAAATACTCAGAAAATCAAAGGTTTATTAAAACATACACACACACACACACACACACACACACACACACACACAGAGGCATGTTTGTGCATAAACATTTTTTTTTTTTTCTTAATGTGCAAAGAATCCTGCTGGACCAGGATTCAGGAGGCCTGTTCCTGCTCTACCAGTCACTAGTTATGTGATGCTGGGCATCCCTTTTCCCCTTCCAAATCTTCTCATCTCCCAAAAGGGAATAATAGCATGTAGTCTATTTCATGGTGGAGGTGGAGGGATATTTGTAGAGACTAAGTGAGTTAATACATATAAAAAAAGTACCTTCTAAATTACAGAGTGTGCAATGGTTAAGTGCTTGGCTGCTATCTGAAAGGTTAGTGGTTTGAACCCACCAGCTTCTCCGTGGATGGAAGATGTGGCAATCTGCTTCTGAAAAGATTACATCAGTGGAAACCTATGGGGCAGTTCTACTCTGTCCTATAGTGTTGCTATGAGTTGGAATCGACTCAGCGGCATTAGATTTGTTTGTTTGTTTTTATACATGTATGAAAGTCTCTGGGTAGCATAAATGGTTTGTGATTGACCACTAACCTAATGATTGACAATTTGAACCCATGCAGCGTCACCATCAAAGAAAGGCCCGGGGATCTGTTTCCGTAAAGATTACAGCCAAGAAAACCCTATGAAGCAGTTCTACTCTGTAACCCATGGAATCGCCAGGAGCTAGAATCAACGGGATGTCATGGGTACAGTTACACGTGTATGAAGAAATCTTTGCAGGCACAGTTCAACTACATGTTTTGGTTTAACTTTGAAATCTGCATTTTGTCCCCTTCTTTGGGTATTTGCTGTTGACCTGGATTGTTGTGTGAATGTAACAAAATCACTAAGTCCAGATGCTGTAGTTAAGATACACACACACACACACACACACACACACACATTCATACACATATACATATGGAGGGAAATAAGATTTGGGAAGAAAAACAAGGCCAAAATAGTCACACTGGTGATATCTGGAGAATGCGATTATGGATGGCTGTCTTGGAAACCCTGGTGGCGTAGTGGTTAAAGCTACGGCTGCTAACCAAAAGCTCGGCAGTTCGAATCCATCAGGCACCCCTTGGAAACCCTGTGGGGCAGTTCTACTCTGTCCTTTAGGGTCACTATGAGTCAGAATCGACTCGATGGCAACAGGTTTGGTTTTTTGTTTTTTAAATTTATCTTCTTGGAGTCCCTGGGTGGCACAAATGGTTACGTGCTTGACTGTTGCTGAAAGGCTGGTGGTTCAAATCCACCCACAGGTTCCTTGGAAGACAGGCTGGGTGATCTGCCTCTGAAAGGTCACAACCTTGAAAATCCTATGGAGCAGATCTCTTCTGCATACATGGAGTCTCCATGAGTTGGAATGGACTTTATGGCAACTGTCAGCAACAACCACAACATTATCTTCTTTGTACTTTTTTGTGTATTTTCTAACTTTCTGCAGTGAGCCTTTGTGACTTTATAACCAGAAAGGTTTCTGTAAACAGAGCTTTTCAAACAGCAACGTTCGTACCTCTCTGGTGCAGCCTTTTCCTGGCAGCTGTTCCCTGGGGCTTTGTTCCTCTGGCAATGACATCCTTCTCATTACACGGTCCCTGGGATCCTTGAAACTAGGTCAGACGCTCCGTGTGAACACCTGTAGGACCTTCTGTGAAGAACATGAGTATTTCCTAAGTCCCTGCTGCTGCAGTTGGAAAAATGATAGACTGAGATGTCACCCAGGCATGGCTGGTCACCCAGGCAGGGCCTTATGGGGTGTGATATCCTGTAAATAAGGCACCCGGGGCTGGGAAAGGCACAGTGACCCACCTAAGACCACAGAGAGAGTTAGACACAAAGCAGGGCTGGTACCCTGTCTCCCATCTCTCTCAGCAGTTTTCAGGCCATCTTTGAACCTCACATAAAGGGCTACCAGAATTAATGGGGATACATTCAGAACTATGCCCACTGAAGGTTGAGGTGCTTGGTTCTTTGTTTCTCCCCTTTTCCTTCCACCAGATTCCAGCCTCAGCCACTTCCTGTTTCTCCTCTCTGGATAAAAGTTGCACTTATCGTCACCTCTTCCCAGTTTCTTGGATTATTTCCCTGTTGCGTACAGTGAGAACTGAAGATGACCCGGATCTGCTGGTGTGCTGGCTTATTTAAATGTCCAGTGGTTTCATGAGTATAGCCTTGTTGGGGCAGAAAGAGCATTCTGCCAGGAGCCGACCTCTGGGTTCTGGTCTTGGCGCTGCCTCTGACTTGCCTTGTAGCTTCAGACAAGTCTCTGCTCTCTCTGGACCTCAGTTTACCCATCTGGAAAATGATGGGCTTGGGTTCAGTCCCTTTGTCCTATAGGGTCACTATAGTTGGAATTGACTTGATGGCAATGGGTTTGTTTGGTGGTACTTTATAAGTGATTGAAGGGATCTTTAGAGATAATTTTGACTATGTAAGATTCTGACTTTAAGACCTAATTCTTCTTACCCCTCAAAAGGTGGGACTCCATGGGAACAGTATACTGTGCCATCGTCACTGTTTCCTCACCCCAGTATATCTCAAAATCTGAGTGGAAGCCTTTCTGCTGTATGACTGTGATAAAATGACCTCAGAAGTCAATGCTGGCATTGTTACTGTCTTCTGAATGACATGAAGAGCTGCACCAGAACTTAGAGGCCTCACGGAGGCTCTGGGGCCTCATGTGATGTGTCAGTCATTATTGCAACCAACCACTTATGTGTTGGAATAGACTTGACAGCAACAGGTTTGGTTTTGGTTTTTTATTTATGTGTAAATGTCCAAGTGACATCTTGTCTGTTTCTTCCTGCAGCTGGTCACCATAGAAGGCCGCTTCCTCAAAGACAGTTTATACAATGAAGGAATCCTAATTGTGTGGGACCCGTCTGTATACCATTCAGATATCCCAGAGGTAAGTAGGTGTCCATGGGAAGTAGGTGTTGGGTCATCTGTTTGCCTACAGATTTTCCTGAATTTCTGGTGTTTTAGAGTCATAACTGACGCTGTGGATGGGCCATTTTCGGGTACTCCACCTCATCTGAACTATCCAGCACACAAGTATTCCTACCCTATACCAGCTGCTCTCCATGCCTTACCCTATATTGCCAAGTATTTGTCTCCCAGTTACGGTGTGTATGGGAGTAACAGGCTGAATTTCTAACCATCTTGGGTGGATTGTGTTCATTTAATGTATTTATTTCTGATGAGTATCAGCAGTAGTAGTAATATCCTCTAGTATTATCACTCTGTAAATCACTACTGTAAATAATATTCCTTCACTTTCCTAGCAATGAGTTCTTCTCATTTCATTCCCACAACAGCTTAAGGAAGTAGACAGAGGCGTGGTCGTCCCCATTTTACAGATGTGGAAACTGGGTTGTGGAGGGGTGATAGCACCTGCCCTACGATCTGATTTACTAAGCAGAGGGCCCAGATATGCAATGCTAGCTGTTTCAGGGAAGAAGACAAGAACCTCAGCCTGCTGGATTCTCACCCTCTTGGGGACAGACTTGCCACTGTTGGCTGTGAATGTCAGGTAGCCTCTCCCTGATGTGGGCTGCAGGGGCCACAGGGGAATGGCTTGAAGGAGGCAGGGTAGAGGGCACTATTCTTGTGACATTTAATTCTCCGTTGGACCCACCAATAGCTGACAGGCTCTGATGGTCCTGGCACCCTCACTATCCATTGCTGTCAAGTCGATTCTGAATCATAGCGACCGTACAGGACAGAGTAGAACTGCCCCTTAGGGTTTCCAAGGAGTGGCTGGTGGAGTTGAACTGCCGACCTTTTGGTTAGCAGCGGAGCTCTTAACCACTGTTCTACCACAGCTCCAGCACCCTGACTAGCTAAATTTCCACATTTTGCCCTGATCTTAGTTAGAACTCAGATTTGCTCAGGTCAGGACAGGGGCTGTGAACCCATAGATGTGGCCACCTGTGCCCTAGTTTCCTCACCTTTAAAAATGAGAGGTGGGGTTAGGTAGTTCCTAAGGCCACTGTCAGCTCTGGTGACATTCCTGTATTCTATGATAGCAAATGTTCCAGGGTCAGCATGCTCAAAATTCCCCATCAGCACAGGCTCCGTGCTGGGTCCCACTCTGCTATCAAATGAGGGCTGTAGTGTGGAGGGGAAGTCTGCTGTCTGTTCCAGGAAAGGGCTATGCCCCAGGATTCTACCTTGTTCTTCCCTTCCCTGAGCCCTCAGCTGAGGATGACTGTCTGAGGGGAGCACTATCAGTGGCACCTTTATTTTCCTGAGAAGACAACTTTCTTCTCTTTCAGTGGTACCAGCATCCCGACTACAGTTTCTTTAACAACTACAAGAGCTATCGTAAGATGCATCCCAATCAGCCCTTCTACATCCTCAGGCCCCAGATGCCTTGGGAGCTATGGGACATCCTTCAGGAAATCTCCCCAGAGGAGATTCAGCCAAACCCACCATCCTCTGGGATGCTCGGTGAGTCCACGTCTATGGAGAGACTGCCCATGTTTTTGTCTAGGAGGGCATGCATCTACCAGGCCCTGACCCAAGTGCTGGGGATACAGAGGTGCTTAAGGCTCATAAGGTCCCACACCTCCGGGAACAGTCTGCTGGGCTTGATTTACTGGGGAAGCTCAGATTGGGAATCAGAGTAGTAAACAGACACCCCAGAAGGACAGTCCTTCCAAAGCTGGGCTCCTGAGCTGCTGGACCCATGGGCAGAACTGTGGGATGCTAGGGTGGTTTGTCGGGCAGGACTCACCTCTGTTCCCTCTCCAGGCATCATGATCATGATGACGCTGTGTGACCAGGTGGATATTTATGAATTCCTCCCATCCAAGCGCAAGACTGACATATGCTACTACTACCAAAAGTTCTTTGACATCGCCTGCACAATGGGCGCCTACCACCCACTCCTCTTTGAGAAGAACATGGTGAAGCACCTGAACCAGGGTGCAGACGAGGACATTTACCTGCATGGAAAAGCCACCCTGCCTGGCTTCCGGAGTACTCACTGTTGAGCAGGGGCTCCCTGACCAGGCCCCTTACCTTTCTCCATGGGATGTTTTCCAGTTGGTCCTTTAGCTACCCTAGGCCTGCGAAGACCATGTTCTGGAGCTACACCAACCTGTTCCTTGTGTTCTGTTAGCAGAGCTCTGGGGATTCAGGGATCTGAGAGCAAGGAACCAGGTCCAGCCTTCCCTGTAGCTGCAAAGAGGTGTGTGAACCCAACCTGCCCACCACACACATGTATACACACACCTAGCATTCTTTCCAGGCTAAGTCCTCCCTTCCTTCCACAGATGTAGATGTGTACCTGCAGATATCAGGTAGACCCACTTTTCCCACTAGGGCTGGCAGAGCTGGGCTTTGCTTGCTCCCCTTAGATGATGATGTTCTCGCAAGCCAGCACTCTACATTGCTTGAAATCTGCACCTAGATGTTGATTTCCTGTTCTGTAAAGAAATTCCCCCAAATCATGATCATGTCCAGTGCAGGGTGACTCTGGGGGCAAGTGATACGAGGTATAGGAAGGAAGCATGCTTGATTCCTCTGGAGCACAGTTGCACCCAAGGTCCGTGGATTTGGAATCATCTGGGAGAGGCAGGGCTCCTGACTTTCTGGCAGGCTTGGCTGGTACTTAGCCTGGGTGCTTATGAGCACAGGGTCTTGATAAGCCCACCTTCCCTCTCCAAAAGGAGATGAAAGAGACTGAAAAATGTGGTCTCTGTCCTTAAGTTGCCCGTAGTCCAGTGGGAGAGAGTGACATGTTCATAGGCAGTTGTGACTCAGTGTGCTCAATGCACTAGGCGCTAGGGGAGAGATGGGCAGGCTGGCTGGCTGGCAGGCACCCAGGAGGGCCACAGACCCACCGTGTGTGTGAGTCACAGAGGGCTTCATGGACATGGGGACATTTGAGTGGGACTTAGAGGAAGAGGAGAATCATGTAAAGCAGTGTTTGCCCGAGTCATTTGAGTTGTGTCTTCCTTTCTGCCTTTGTCACCGTTGTTAATGCTCTAAACCCTGTTCATAGTTACAGACACAAGATAGTTTTTGAGGGAGCTCCCTTACCCGTGCCTGAGGCCGCGGAGTGCAGCCCCATGCAGACCCCAGGCAACCCCAATGCCAAAGACTCAGTTTCTCTAGGCTTGGCCTGACCTGTTCCTACCGGCTGGTTTGGCACATTAGACCCCAACTTTTCCTTTTAATGGTTACCCCAAACCTCCTCCTAACTGCCATCTTTTTTTTCCCTTTAAAAGAGTCGCCCTTTCCCTCTACCTAGTGACTTTTAAGCATTTTCTGCTTTAAAAGTATCCTGACCATATTGCTTTGACCTTCTGTGGAAGGTCCCTCAGGGATGGGGGGAGGCAGTTCCCTAGGGCTTAAGCCATTCTCAGAGGTCAGAACCTTGGAGACCACTCCCTGAACGGTGTGCAGGTGTGTGGTGTCAGATGGCCATGCCCTCCACCACCCCCTGCCCCCAGGGGAGCAGTGTCAGAGTCTCCTGGCAGGGCTGCCCTGGAGTGGTTTGCACACGTGCTCTCCAGATAGTTGTGCTAAGTCCCCTCTCCCCGTTGAGAACCACGCTGGACTGCTCCGGCCCCCGGCGAGAAGTTAAAGGCCTTGCTCCACAAGGCAATGCTGAGAAGCCAGGGCTCCTAGCCCAGCTTCTAAACTCCCGAGCTGGCCCTGCGTGCTCAAAGGCTTGAAGCCGTGAGCTTGAGACAGCTGGCTTGGAGCTGCGGTCCTCATTTATTGCCAAACCCTTGGTGTCTGTAGGCAGAGAAAGGGCACTGGATTGAGAAGTCCTGGGTTTTCAAAGCGATGTTCTCCCACTTACTAGCTATGCCACTTTGACAAGTTCCCTTCCCTGAGCCTCTGTGTCCATGTCTGTCAAATGGGGCTGATGATCCTACCTCACAGGGCTGTTGTGAGGATTGAATGAAAGCGTATCCTAGCTCTGGGCCTGCCACTTAGTGGGTGCTCAGCACACGCTGGTTTCTGCCCTTCCTGTACTAAGGACCTACTCTGTGCTCACACCTGGGCTGAGCTGGGAACCTGCCGCCAGGGTGGCCAGAGAGGGGGCTCTGTCCTCAGGGAATTACTGTCCTATTGGGAGACACAACCACACTGCTTTTGCAACACCCAGGACACCATCCAAGGTGGTGAGGGATGCGGAACACGCCCCTCACTGCCTGCAGCTCAGGTCTGATTCTCCTCGGAACACGCCCCTCACTGCCTGCAGCTCAGGTCTGATTCCCTCGGGAACGAGCGGAGAACTCGGGCTGCTTAACTGCTGTCTGGGCTGAACCTTTTACGCTTCTCCGGGCCCGTGAGTTCCTGGCTTGCTTTATGTTCTAACTTGAAAAACTCATTGTAATCCTTGCATCTTGAACACTGAGTGCAGAAGAGGGTGGTATTCCATCAGCAGGGGATATCTTCAGTGGGGCAACTGAGACTGCACTGGGTTGATGCTAGTTTTTACTTTTTATTAATAAAAGGGATCAAATTAATTTAAGTATGATAATGAAGTCTACAGAATTTTAAATTCCGGCTGTCTATACGTGGAAACGTTTATAAAAATGAAAATAAGATGTGAATGTTATTGTTGGTGTGATGAGCTGTTTAATATTGTTGACTTACTGCTGCAGGGACACCTCCGTCTACTTGGGGTTCTGTCTACTTCAGTAACTGTCTCTTCATTCTATATCATGAAGTAGGTCCTCTAATCCTCCCAGCAATCAAATAAGCTATTGATAATGATTTGACATTGAGACATCAATCTCAGAGGCTTCCAAAACATGCCTGAGCTGATTCTGAATTACCCAAAGGCTATGTAAAATTTTTAAATAAAAAAAATTTTTTAAAGAAAAAGCTGGTACTTCTCACTTGCTAAGGGAATTACTGCTGATCATAAACACCTTTCTCCAAGGAGGACACGACTGGGGCCCTGAACCCCCAAACCCTCTCCCATTAGCTTCTCTGGCTTTAATACTCTTTCTTCAATACTCCAGGAAGAAGAATGCCTACTTACATCATTTTTTAAAAATTAACTGATTTATTGCTATTTCTTCTTTTTGCTTTTGCTTGGATTCCAATAACTAAGCTGTCTTACACACAGTGCCTCAGGGAAGGGATGCAACAGGGCAGAAACAGAATGAAAGGAATGCCCTTACCCTGATTTTCAAAGCCCCTAAGTGAATGACGGAGCCCTGGTGGCACAGTGGTTAAGAGCTTGGCTGCTGACCAAAAGGTCGGCAGTTCAAGTCTACCAGCCGCTCCTTGGAAACCCTATGGAGCAGTTCTACTCTGTCCTCTAGGGTTGCTATGAGTCGGAATTGACTCAGCAGCAATGGGTTTTGGGTTTTGGTTTAACTGAGTGATGTCCCAAGGGAATAGCCAAAATGTTTGGCTAGAAGTCCTGAGGGAAGAGCAGTAGTTAGAGGAGAGGGGATGATTCCTTTCCCTCCTCACAACCTACCCTGCAACTCCCCGACTTCAGGAGCGTCTCCTGGCTGGGCATGGGAAGACTAGTGAAGGGGGCCAGGCTGTCGGGGGCCCTGTGCCCTGTTTCCCAGCCGGAGTCCTGAGGAAATTGCCAGTCCTTGGAGAGTAAGGCTTCACGAGGACTCCAGTCCAGGCAGACAGGACCCCATGCCTGGAGAGGCGCAGAAGCAGCAGAGGGGATGCCCCTTCCTGATGAGATCATGGATGAAGGACATCTTAGCAGTGCCCAAGTGGACTGATAACACTGAAGACTATTTCCTAAGCCCTGCTCTGGTGACACAGTGGTTAAGAGCTCGGCTGCTAACCAAAAGGCCAGCAGTTCTAATCCACCAGCTGCTCCTTGGAAATCCTACAAGACAGTTCTACTCTGTCCTATAGGGTCGCTATGAGTTGGAATTGACTCCGACAATGTGTCTGGTTTTTTTGACACTCCAATGCCTTAGCAGGTAAGCTCCCTGGAACTCAGCTATAACTCCAGATTAAAACTAGGTTTCTGCCATCGCAGTAGAATGAGAGTTGAAAATAGAAGTTACAGAAAAATAGATTTCTATTAGCTTGGGAACTGAGCTCTGCGCTTGCCAAATTTACAGCCGTCCTAGGAGTCCCTGGGTGGTGCAAACGGTTAACACGCTCAGCTGCTAACCAAAATATTGGAGGCTTGAGTCCACCCAGAGGGGCCTCTGAAAAAAGGCCTGGTGATCTACTCCCAAAAAGTCAGCTATTGAAAACCCTATGGAACACAGGTCTACTCTGACACACGTGGGGTTGCCGTGAATTGGAATCAACTCAGTGGCAATTGGTTCAGCCTGTTAAATTTC